GAATATCAATGAGACGTGTCTAGTAAAGTATATGGTGAATAACTGGATGCCATATAGTTTTAGACTCTTACCTTGTCGTTCAACGTAATACGGGCAATACCTTCGGGATACCAGAAAAGTTGATTAACATCATCATATCCAATAATTTTATCGTGATCCTTCTCTTTCCGGACGAACTTGCCATCGATGACTTCATAACCTTGATCACGAAGGAATCGGTACAAGGGTTTGATGACCGCATTGAGGTAAAGTCCTTCAGGGACTGGGTCGACCCTATTCTGGCACTCGGGCGAGCGATAATAGTCGTCGGCACACTTGAAGATGAAGCAAAGACATTCCGCTGTGAAACGGACGGATGCTGCTTCACCCCAGCAAAGAAGGAATAGAGCAATTTGACGTAACCGGTCATATTGACTCATGTTGTGCATGGCCTGACGCCAGCGATTAAGGGCGGTATCCAATGATTTTTGCTTGCTAGGGGCGTTCTTGGACCTTGTGGTAACACGTTGCAATCCAGGGTTCAACTGGGTGCCCACTGCGTCATCCAAGTCCAGCTGGGCGGCGAAGTACCATTTGCGATAGTTGGCGTGCTGGCCACCGATGTAATCCGCGTGTAAAGTAAGGAGTGCTTGATTGGGAGACATGCGCGATGCACGACTGTCAAGCAAATGCATGGTAAAATCAAACTGCAGAATGGTCAGTAGGAATCATTGAAACAGTTAAAGACGCTTACCATATTACGCATGGAATCCCGCTGGAAACCGAATTTCTGAGTGAGATCGAGAAAGATATCTTCAATTTCTCTAAAATATTGTCAGAGCGGTTCATGGCGTATAAGCGGGGACAACTCACTCCTTTGATAATGGTATCTGGCGGTCGTTCGACCAAGCCGGATACGGTTCTACGGGCTTACTGTAGGCCCCAGTATACTCTGAGGGAAACGTTTGAGTGGAAGCATGAGGATCCGCAAAGGGGACTCCACGCGGAGGATTTGAACCCATTAGGTTATCTGAAGACGGTGCGTAGTGTTGGCTGTAAGCATCTGCGTCAGAGGACTGATCCACGTCTCTCCGTTGAGCTGTAAGAATGATGTTCAGCTTTTAGCCTACTAAAGATGATGGTTCAACGCACCATAAGGATCGAAGTTTCCCGTTTGATCGTAATAACGTTCTGAGTTTACACTAGCATTATCGAAGTACTGAGGTTGGGGCGGCCCCGTTGGAGGCACGCGAGACATCTCGACTACTCTTCCCGTCAACTCGAGTATCTTTGAAGAGAGAAAATACCTACGTGACCGCTTGAGAAATCTCGACCTAAGGGATCTGTCAGGAGCACAGCCTACCCAGATATGATTTTGCTTACTACGAAGTCTAGGAAACAATGAGAGCTATGCAAGCAAAAATTCGAAATGACTGACTAAGGGTATAGAAGGAGTAGGGGGAGCGGAGTCGTGAAAGGAGCGGGAGGAGTTGAAGGGGAAGCTGTGAGGAGAAGACACGGTTACAAGCCCACTGACGCCCATATCTCCACAGGCCCACAAGACACTACAACTAATCTAAACTTGACCATGGTAGCCGATGCTGCGTAGTGATGCTCTAAATTGCGACAATAACTATCCGTATTTTCAAATCCGCTTCATGCAGGATTTATGGTATTTTCTTTAGAGTCAGAAAGAATCTAACGAAATAACGAAAATTGAAGCAGTGCTGGTCCAGCTCCGACTCCGAGTGCCGTTCGTCCGGACAGTAGACGTGATTAGACCGCTTGGCTTGTTACCGGTTCTTTCTGATCTTGGGCATCCTGGGCATCAACCGCCGCTGTTCCCAGTGTTCAATTGAGTAAGGAGCCGGCAAAAACTGAACTGCATTCTCCAACGTAGGATTCCGTCCTCTTTTCGGATATTTAGTCGAGAGTCGTACTTTGCTCGCACTCACAAGTATGTTTATTTCACGCGCCTATGACGACCCTGCTCTTCCAAATAATTTTGCCCAGGCCCCGCTGGGGGCCGTGGAGCTCCGTTAGGTCAACCGATCACTTAAAGCTCTGCCAGTCAACTCCACGAAATCCTGCGAGCTCGTAAAATACCGCACTCTCTGAACCAACGAGCAAAGTGGCAGTCATTTCCATCATCAGGATGAAACAGCTGGCTTGACTAACAACTTTCCCCTGCGATTTATGATGGACTCAACTTCTTTGGCTGATCTCTCCAACCGTACCAATCCGACGAGGCCTTATCTCTGTCCTCTGATCATACAAACAGCATGCACACGACAGATGTTCTATGAACAACTACCCGAAAAGAGTGGGATCTACGGTTGACACGGTCGTACGCGATTCATTTCTATATGAAAGAACAAGCCAAAGGTTGTTGGATAGTTAACAACGGTTAATTCTAATTATGTGGCTCCCGAATTCCCCTGTATTACTTGCCATAGTTGCCATAAGTAATTGCCAAGGGTGAGTCAGAAGTTGATTAACTATCTGCCTTCAGCTAACAAAAAATGAAGGTTAAATTATCAGGCTAGAGCTATTCTCCCTAATACTTTCGGCGGCGAGATTAAGGCCAGGGAGACTTTCTCCATCTCTACCAACCTGGCTGATACATATTAACCATTTCTCCCCGTTTATATTATTATGTAATTAAGCATACAGAAACTTCATATATCGCTTCGAAGAAGAGGATCGACACACTATGAAATTACAAGTGGTAAGCTGTTAAGTAATTGCACCGATATCCGGTGACCTGTGATACGAAGTGATACAAAGCCATAGTCTAGCCAGTGACAGTAGCATGCGGTTCAATCTTGTATTTTAATGCATATACATTGCTGGCAAGTCCAATGAGGTCGACTGGGCTTTTCGAAGCGCGCAAATGAAGATAGCCCAGGGTACGTGACGTCTATCCACCTGTGCTGCTGCATCTAATTGAACCGACCTACAAATAGTGGGCACGAACGAAGCCACCGATCCTAGAGGGTCTTGAGTTACTCAATTGGAGTATAGGTGACCGAACTGAACGCCAATCCTTTTTAGGTTTCTTTGATAGCTCTTTGAGGTTAGTGGCTGTATTATAATACATATCCAGAGTTGGCTTTTTATAGGTACTCCTAAGGTAGAGCTCTTCGCGAAGTAATACAATTTTATCAGCAGATGACGTTCGAATTTCGAAGCTGAGGTTCATAATTTTTCCAAAATAACACGGCTTTATTAGATATATAAAGGTTACTGAATATTAACTATGTCCGCAGCATCATTTCTCATGCCTGCTCCCATACTTCCAGAGGTTCCACGTTATTCCCTTCCTCCTCCAACGTCTTGTGATCGTACGTATACGATTGTGCATTTAAATATAATATTAAATTGAATAATTTCTTTGGATATAGTGGAATGGGCGGATTTGCCGTTAATAGATCTTTCAAAGTCTCATACTCCCGAAGGCCGTGAAGCCTTGGCTACCGAAGTCAGGCAGGCACTAGCAACCATAGGATTCTTCTATGTCATTAACCATGGATATACAATGGAACAGGTAGTTTAAAGTATTCTGTTGACAATAAGGATATTCCTGAGTATTCCTTATCCTATCCTAGACCCAGAGGATATTCGATATCGCCGATATTCCCTTCACGCAGGTGGATGAAGCGGAAAAGGCAAAATATATCAGTGAATTAAAAGCGGGGACGTATCAAGGGTACAAACCTCGCTCTTACTGGGTAAGTGAGTTCAAAAGGCTTCCATGGATGAGGCTTATAATTCCCAGCATATTCATAACGGTGTCAGAGATGAGATTGATCAATACAATCGTAATCCTCCTTTGCATGCACTATGTACATTATTTTCTAAATCAATCTTAGTCAATTTGAACGTCTACAAACGCGAACATCCAAACACACTACGACCACTTCTGCCCGAGATAGCCGAATTCTCAAAGCATAACCATTTTAACATCCTGCATCCCTTGCTAAGGTCAGCCGTCACCAATGATAATATCGGGATTTCTCTACTGATATTTATCATGGACTCCTAGGCTCGTGGCTCGTGGCTTGGAACTACCAGAAGAGGAACTCATACCCGAGCATGACTTCGAGGCTCAGAATGACACATGGATTAGATTCATGAAATAGTGAGTACAGTGATTTTCTTAGAATGGAGCCATGTAAAGAAGTGAACCGTTATTCAGCTATCCACAATCTGAAGAGAACCTGGCGCAAACAGAGAAGATGTGGCTCAAGGGACACACAGGTCACCGGAAGAATATTTTGTTAACTAATTTAACTGAAATATATGACAGATTATGGAACGCTCACAATCTTGTGGAGTCAGCCCGTATCGGCCTTGCAAATTCGCTCTCCCGATGGAAATTGGCGATGGGTTAAACATATGGAGAATGCCTTAGTATGTCTTCTACTAAGTTTACCTCCGAGAGAGTACACCCATGACTTAATGCTTACCAGGTCATCAATGCAGGCGACTGGCTCGAAACCATCTCAGGTGGATACTATAAAGCCACCATCCACCGTGTCATCCAGCCTCCTCCGGACCAACGACAATATAATCGCCTTGGAGTCTATTATTTTGCAAATCCCAATGATGACGTGAGGCTGACTCCAAGAATGCATTCACCTGTAGTACAGCGCCTTGGGATCAGCGATCGCTTGAGAGGAGAGGAATTTTATCCAGGACCTACGATAGAAGAGTTTAGGAAAGGACGGACGAGTACGTTTGGACAAGTGAAGTTGAGAAAAGGGAAAGAAGAGGGAACGGAGGAGAATACTGTTGCTGGAGTTACTGTTACTCATTATCTCTGAAGGTTTCAAAGATTCTGTATATAATTCACCAATTTCAAGTGGCCTTTCAAAGGTATACATGACACAGCGAAAACATAGATTGCATGGTTTCACAAGAGGCAAAATATTTATTTCGAGGCAATGAGAGATAAAAAATGCAACTAATGTCTATATTCTTCCTATAACAGGAAAGTGATGGAAAAGTCACATAAAAAACTGCCCCAGAGAGGCTCGAACTCTCGACCTTCCGATTTGCCAAACTAATGTCATAACAGTCGGACGCTATAGCCAACTAAGCCATGGGGCAAGGATATCGTTGAAGCGAGACTACCATTCATAGCCCGGAATAGATATCAACTCCTTAGTTATAAGTTTGCACAGATACTTACCTATCCCGGATGGCAACAAAATTGACATTCTTGGCAGCGGAATGGCAATCACATCAGCAAACCCAAAGTTACCACGTAAGCGCTCGATGAGTCGTCCTTCTAAACCGACCTTGATCACGAATATCCACCATGACCATCGGACAACAAAGGCTCAGGACATCATTTGGTATAGTGACCGAATTCCAACATGTTACTTGATAAGTACTCAGGTCAAGATTTTCCGCGGTGCGTTGGAAGGTTGCTTGAAGGAAGGGCCCTTCAAATACTCCAGCTCATCAAGCCTTTCAAATGAGAGGTTTTTCGACACTGAATATGTCAGTGATAAATATTTCTCATACAACCATGTCCCACTGACTCTCCGTTTATAGAGTTCGTTTTTGTCTATCACGCCATGATGTCAGTGGACTCCGTTGCACACGAAGTCACGGGAGTCGCGATATGTAGGAGAATGGTGGCTTCTCAGGCTGTTTAACTTTCCGCGCTATCTATTAGTACGGATGGCGTGATCTCCCATTTGCAAACATGGTAAGCTTTTCATACGAAAAAGCATCTCGTGACTAACACATGGCACTATAATAGTCTGATGGCTGTAAACATATTAAATCCTTCCACCCCTCATGCCTGTCCCAAATCTTCCGACACTTGTCCCGTACGAACAGCCTCCGCCTACTACTGCCGATCGTGAGGAATTTCTAACGAAGAAATAAATCATTTACTAAAGCACGTCCATATACTAGTGGATTGGGCAGATTTACCTATTATCGATGTTTCTCAAGCTGTAACCGAAGAAGGGCGTCTGAAGCTCGGGGAACAAGTGCAGGATGCCCTCATTAATGTTGGCTTCTTCTATGTCGTGAATCATGGCTATACGGAAGAGGAAGTCAGTGCACTTGAATTTTCAAACATTCATCATCTTACCTTCCACGAATAGACCGCCAAAATGTTCAGCATTGCTAACATTCCATTTAATCAAGTCAGTCCAGAGGAGAAGAAAGTATACGAAGGAACACCAAAGACTACAGGGTCATACCAGGGATATAAACTGCGTTCGTATTGGGTATGTATTTCTCCCTGTAGCGATGAAGACAATTCATGAATATATTTTAAGCATATTGATAATGGTGTAAGAGACCAGGTTGAAAACTACAATAGTGAGTCATATTTCTATAGATATTCAAACTAATTCTAGACCTCAATCTCACTTAGTCAATCACGATACGACAAAGCGTAACCACCCAGAGGCTTTGCGTCCCTATCTTTCCGATGTAGCATCCTTTGCAAGGTTTAATCACGAACAGATACTCCATCCCATTTTAAAGTAACTGTGTTGGCCAGAAAAACTGATTTTCCCTAAAAAATACTTATCATATTTTAACAGACTTCTTGCTCGAGGATTAGAGCTGCCTGAAGACACCTTTGTCGATCACCATACTTTCGAAGGGCAAAACGAATCCTATGTCAGGTTCATGAAATAGTGTGTATTAATGGTACTTGTTATGGCCTCTCACTAAACATGCGCGTATTATCCAGCTATCCACGCTCCCGTGAAGATGAAGAGAAGTCGCAGAACGTCTGGCTGAAGGGTCATACAGGTAACATACTAATTCTGGCTTTCAAATCATATTTTGGTTAATTGACCATCTGTTGCAGATTTTGGAAGTATAACAATTCTCTGGAGTCAGCCCGTTTCCGCTCTTCAAATACTTTCCCCTGATGGGAAGTGGCGCTGGATCAAACATATAGACAACGCTTTGGTACACTTATTCTTCTTCTTTTATGCTTAGATCGTTCCTCATAGTTTATAGGTTATTAACGCTGGCGATTGCCTTGAATTTTTATCAGGCGGATTCTATAAGGCAACGATTCACCGGGTTGTCCAGCCTCCCCCTGATCAACAACACCACGATAGGCTAGGGGCTTTCTATTTTGCCATTCCAAACGACAATGTCAAGTTACGGGCCCTCCTGGAATCGCCAGTCCTGCAACGTGTTGGAGTGAACGATAAGTTCCAGACTCATAACGTTGAGGTCGCAACCGTCGAAGATTGGAGGAAAGCCCGTACAGCCGCTTATGGACAGAGTAAATTAACAAGCGGGTCACAAGCGGGAGTGGAAGAAGAAGTCATCAATGGCGTTGTGGTGAAGCATTATCGGTGATCGGTGATCGGACATCGGACATCCCTCAAGATCATGCAATAGTGGCAGTCCCGTCTATTACTGTGCATACTTCAAGCTCAGGGTAGTAGAGTTATAAATAATCCTTTGTCGGTGATGTGATAACGATATAGGTCGTCCTACCATTGCTGAACATTATAGGTGAGTATGCGAAGAAAGTGACCCTTCTATGCTCTGGAAGTGAGCAGGCCGAACACTAAGTAATATCTGTGATACCTTGACTGCATAATAAGTTAATGGGGCAGTCTAGTAGGATATCAGCTGATTCCGGTCATGAGCTCGATTGCGATTCTTTAGCAATGTAAATTCTCGCCACCCAATTAACATTATCGTCGGTAACTGCTTTCCGTCATTCCCGTATAGTATCTTGTAATCACTGTACTTCAGTAGACTTCAATGAAAAATCAGTAAGTATTTGAACATTTAATATAATCTTACCAATATCGACCCTAGCTCTTGCTCACGTTCTTGCTTCAGTAAACATGAGAGATTAACCTTGATTTTCTGCAAATTGGCGGGACGACTCGGAGTCTTCTACATCCGACGATGTTTGATGTTTAGAAATGCCAAGTTAACCATCGCCGTCCGCCCATTATCGGTTATCAGTCATGCCTTGTACTCTACAGTACTCCAGCATACGATTGTAAATATTAACCGTCTGATGATCAGTTTAAACCCTGGTAGTACCAATGTTGACCCTATATCTTCAAGTTGATGTTCTTTCCAGCCATGAATGATCGGCGATTCTACTATGTAGGCTCTGCAACTTAGCGGAATGAGGGCAACACTAAATGACTAACTTTAGTGATTGATAAAACGTTCTTGTATCCTCTTTAGCACCACCAACTTGAATACTTAAGAGTCCCTACTAGATCTTGCTGATACTCCCAACAAACGTGAGCACAAACTGTTGACCGTTGAGTCTGTCCGAGTTATAAGAACAACAGCTGATTCTACTGATACATAAGGGAACTTGAGCCTTACCTTTATTCCGATTATGAATGCGAGGGGAAGAGGGGAGGACTCGAAACCCTGAGTGCAGCTGCTATGCTGGTAGTTACTTTAATACTTACTTGCGGACTCGGAGGCACCCACCGCTATGCGAGCTACGGACCTCGAAGGCAACTGCGGATCCTCCAGTAAGAATAACGACATCTAATACTGCATGATTTTCTTTGTTACTTTGTTAGAGAATGTGTCTTCGAACGTTTTTACTTCTCGGAGCGAAGCCTGTCATGTTTTTCTGGTCTGATCATCGGAGTTAGGGAAATTTCGCTTATCCACACCTGTCTCCCAAGGTCTACCTCTGGGTAAATCACTCAACAGTGTAAGGGTCAGCCCTTACGAGAGATGTAGCATGCGGATCGCACGTCAATATATGTACTGGTAAAACCAGCATAAGTGTTCCCAGCGGCCAATGGGCGCTTCTGAACTCGTTCTTCAATCCCTTTGTAGGATATTTTGAGTTGACCGAAGCTACTGAAGTGAGTCCCATGGCAAGTATCCAGCTCTGCTCCTTTGACCTACAAACTCTAAGCTTATCGCTAAATCACATCGCCACATAATACGTACCTAGACCTAATATCTTCATAGGTACCATTTTCGGTTGAGTTCCGAAGCTACTGAAGTGAGTCCCATGGAAAGTAACCAGCTCTGCTCATTTGGCCTACAAACTCTAAGCTTATCGCCAAATCACATCGCCACATAATACGTACCTAGACCTAATATCTTCATAGGTACCATTTTCGGTTGAGTTCTTTTGACCAGTTATATTGTCTCATATGCTTGATGTATTACAGTCTTCTAGCGAGCTCTAGCGAGACGGAAAGACTAGGGAAGACCAGACAGTATTGCCATGTCCGATCGTTGATTGAGGGGACAAACCCTGCTAGTGGCCAAATAAGGCAGGCAGTGGTAAGATGTGGTTGAAATGACCGATCATGCGGGAAGGATCAACACCGGCATGATGCAGTAAGGGGCAAGTTTGTTGTGGTATGTTTTCGAAGAATCTAGTATGTATGCCTTCCGGATCCCCGTGTGTTGCCAACTAGTGCGGATCGTAATCGATATGTAATCATTCATTTTCTTTTAGCACCGATGGCGTGGAATCTAGTGGTAAGATGTGGTTAATTCTGATTAACTTAATGGCTTCTAGACTAGTTTCTACCCTTTCAATAAGCGAGTGGACAAGGGGAATAGGCACATTGTGACAGCTACGATTACTATTTTGGGCATTCCCTTTATCGCGGGCTATATATGTACCAATGACAGACCGTGGAAACGCCACATAAAAAAGTATTCAAAGGGAGTTCGTCGTCGTCTAAATTAGAGGTAGCTTAACCCATCCCTGCATTCCCGAACATGATTCGCGAAGTACACTAGTATAAATGTCCGAGTATCAGGACTTGGAAGAATCAGTGCCATTCCCCAGTTTCCCCGAACTCGAGCTACTCAGCCCTTTCGACTTTTCTTCTAGTATTACATACTACCTTTATCTTCAAAGATGTTCCCTCGCTTTACCTACATCATCTTCGCCACCCTCCTCGTCCTGCTCGCAACTTGTAAGTCATGGAGACACAGAAGGCGACTTGCATTTACTTATCTCTTCTGCTACAGGCATTCAGACCGCAACTGCTGTCCCTGTCGGTCCAAAGACCCCAGGACAACTAGTCACCGAAAACCGTGCTGCTCTGTTGAAGGGCCGTATCTGTGGCCGCGCCTGCATGTTCGTCGTAAGTCTTATT